CGACTCATAGCGACCCCTCCTTGGGTTTCCGAGGCAGTATCACTACGGAAGTAGGATTGCCCAACCTTCCTTCCGAGGAGTGGCTGGTGGGTTTGAACAGCCAGCCGTCTGGTTAGCAGGCAAGTGTCTTAGCCACTATGCTACCAGAGCTCCCCAAAAGCTATTGGAGGATACAAAATAAGTCTGGAATTTAGAAATTCAAATTATAATCATGTGACAACAAATTTTGGGATCGATGTAAAATTTCTTTAATATCAAGAACTGTTATTCTACCAATTCTCACCCAGAAGGATTTGCGTAAGTTAATGCTGTGAATGAGAAAGCAATTTAGGGAGGACATATACCACTAGTAAACTGACCTGACAAACCACAGACTGATGGCAAAGGGACAAAAACTGAACAAATGTCGTGGGGGGAAAACACATGGGGCTGATGGGGCACACTTAAGGCATCTTAAAAAAAAAAAAAAAAACCCACATGGCTTTGGCTTATTAAAATATTTTACACTTTTTTTTTTTAATATATATAAAAGAAGATTTGAAAGCATCTGAAAAACATGCAAAGTGTTTGAAAATCCTGCATGGCAAATTCAGACAGTTTGCAAGCGTCATTCAGATGTTTGCCAAGGAAAATAAAGCCTCCCTCCTCATGGGATTGCACAGGGTGGCAGAGGTCTCCTGGTTCTCTCTATCTTATACTGGATGGCAACCCAGAGGTCTGTGCAGCGGTTACAAATAAGGTGTTATTGTCTGGAAGGGAAGGGACTGTGGAATTTCCATTGGTTGGGGAACAGCCCAGCTTTAGTTTTTCCAGATACTCTGCATGTACAGGTTTATGACACTGGAGGACTTTGATGGCATCTTCAACTTTGAACCACTCTCTCTTCCTTCCTAGAAAATAGTATGACACTGGTAACTATACAATAAAGTTAATTTTTAAAAGTAAGGTGTCACCGATTATTATCCCTCTGTCCCCCACAAATAATGAATTTATTTTTTTAAGAAATGGCATATATATATATATTTTTTTTTTTTCATTATTATCTTTTTATGTTTGTAGTGTTCCCTCCCCTCCCAGCCCTGGTACCCAATTAAGTTTCTTTTCATAGGATTAGATTTTTATGATAGGCCTATTCCTACATGTAAACAGGTAGATAAGATTAGGTCCTTAATTTCACTTTAAATCAATAAAGAATAATTGTGTAAAACATTGCTAGGTATTACTGGAAAGCACGTAAGTGCTATGATTATATGTAGCAAGTGAAGGGTCGGAGAAATGACATCTAAGTAAGAACTGACAGTTACCAAGGAAAAAAACAGCACTGCCAAAGCCTTAGGCATCACTACATACAGTATTTGGCACGTTGAGTCCCTGAAAGGAGTCCATATAGCTACACCTGCAGGTAGATAATGGTCAGTAGTTTAGGAAAGCAAGATGTTCTTCCAGGTCAAAGGCAGGCTATTTGCTTTAACATCCCTATCACGATGGGAGCTCTGGTAGCATAGTGGCTAAGACACTTGACTGCTAACCAGACGGCTGGCGGTTCAAACCCACCAGCCACTCCTCGGAAGGAAGGTTGGGCAATCCTACTTCCATAGTGATACTGCCTCGGAAACCCAAGGAGGGGTCGCTATGAGTGGGGCCGACTCGACGGCACATAACAACAACAACATCTCGATACATCAGGGCAGTCAGTAAGCATGCACCTTGTGTGGAGGGAAGAGCCAGAATGTGGCTTAGGAAAGGACAGCCAGCATGTCTCAGGTATAATACTATTATGCCAAGAGCTGTGTAAGATCCTCCAATAAAGGGCATGTATATAACCCTGAAATCTGGTTATTTGAGGAAAAAACAAACAAAAAATCAACAGTACGCTGACTTGACTAATAATGAGTTCCTCCTTCTGTTGTACATAGGGTTGCTATGAGTTGGAGCCAACTTGACAGCACCTAAGAACAGTAATGAAATATCCTCTGTTTCTCCAAGCAAAATTCACATGGATTAAGCAGTCCAAGCTACTTAAACACCAAGAGACTTTTCAGTAGTGGTATCATAGGTGCCCATCTTAGCTCAAACTATAGGATATGCAAATAGGGACAGCACATTGGGGAAGAATTTTGAAGCTCATTCAAGTGTGGATACATATTGATATTCCTTTCTCCAAAACAAAGGTAACCAAAAATAAGATGCAAATTGTGCTGCAGGTATGTAGTATTTGAATTTAGGGAATTCAGGTAGCAAAAGGAAAGGAAACGTACCTATATTAACAGAATCTTCCCAATCTTCTAATATTTCTGTAACTGTAAGAACATAAACATATGTTCTGTGCTTTCGGTCTTGGTTCTGCTTGAATATAAAAAGAAAAGCATTTTAATCTAAAGGAGCTAGCGATGTACATATTTTCAAGGAGGAAAAAAAATCAGTGTGCCTTACTGCTCATTAGCATAATGTGTTTGCCAACACAGGCAAGTGTACTCAGCAGTATAATCCAGTACAGAAGTGGGCTTATTATGCAAGAGAAAACATTTAAAAATTAAAAAGATGGAGGAGACCAAATAAGGCTTCCTCACCAGCTAACGATGAAATTAGCTCCCAATACTAAACTTACAGCACTTTGATTTCTGTCTGACAAGTTTCTTTCGTAAGGAAAATCTTAGGATTTGAATGGACTCTACAGTAAAAGAAGAACTACAGTCATGCAGTTTTATGGGGGGTAGTAACCCCTGGGGCTAATTCTGGTAGCCTTTTCAAGATAGAAAACTTGTAAAGTTTTCTGGAGGGCAAATACCCCCGTTTCTTCAGAACATTACTCCTAAGAGGGTTATCAAAATGCACAGAAACCACAGCTCTACTAAGAACTTAGACTGCAGAGTATAAGATCACTCAGGGATTCATGACTGTTTAAAGGGCGCCAATTCACTTTGGCTAGGATGAGGTCTAAGTGTTGGTATTTTTAAAGCTCTCAGGTGAAATATGCACAGCCAGGGCTGAAAATACCTTGGTTAGTCCATCTCTGGAGTATTACCTTTTTGTTCTAGATGCTACAAACGTAATTTTTACCCATTTAAAATAGCCATCTCATCTTGTCTAGGAGGTTCAAAATTAAATACAAGTTGGCTTTAAGAGAGGGGACCAAGGGATCTACATTTACTCCTGTGTTAAATTTAGCCTGGTTTGCTGTAATCTTAAAATTGTATTTTCATTGTTTTTAAGGATCAGTTATCTGGCCTCTAGGCCTGTTAAATGAATACATTTATTATGCTAGATTCACAAATTCATTAAATTCACTGATGAATGGGAAGACCATTCTAATTTTCCTTCACATTTTCTAAAAGGAAAAGTACGTATTTCCTGTTCAGATCCTATGAATTTAAATAGCATTTGTGAAGCACGTGGTATTATTACCTTACTGTATTAAGCAATTGTTATTTATAATTTGAGATGTTTTCCTCAAAAATCTTCTCAGTATATTGATAAATGTGCTGCTAACTTTGGATCACAGAAAACCCTCAACATTTTTCGGTTTAACCAGAAGATGGTGCTATTTAACTGGGAAAGTAAGTGCTGAATTCTGGAAAAGGCTGAATAGTACCTTAAGGATTTTACTCATAATGATTATTCTGGTGGGAGTGATAAATTCTACCAAGTTCCAAAAAAATCAGGGTATTTTTCTGAATTACTGCAAAACATTAAAAATAAAATTTATGTGGTTTTACCACATAAATTTTTTAATTGTGATTTGATTTACAGAGCAAATTTACTTTCCATACAGCAGTTTACATACACTTTGTTTCATGACACTGACGAGAGTTTACCACAATGCAACAGCTCCCCTCCCACTTCCTCCCCATAGTTACCTCTTCCCAGTGTCCATCCCTCCATGGACTCCTGCCCCCTGAGCTGTCTCCCTGTGCATAAGCAGCCCTTCCTTCTCCCATGATTGTTCTCTCCAGGGTGTGTGTCTACTTGAGGTAAATGTTT